GTGCATTTTCGCGTACGTCACGTTGTCTTGCGTTATAACTACATTATGCAAGAAAGATCATAATAATTTGACCTGTTTAAGAACCTATAAACTACGATGTGCTGTACCCACCGCCCCGCTCTGCCCCAGATGCCGGCGTGCTAAGCTCGCACCTGCGATACTGTGCTGCACCACCGCCCGCTCTGCCCCAGATGCGGCGTGCTAAGCTCGCACTGCGATACGTGTTTTACCACCGCTCGCTCTGCCCCAGATGTCGGCGTGCTAGGCTCCCCACCGCGATACTGTGCTGCACCACCCGCCCGCTCTGCCCCAGATGTCGGCGTGCTAGGTCCCACCGCGATACTGTGTTGTACCACAGCCTGCTCTGCCCCAGATCGATGTCGGCGTGCTAGGCTCCCACCGCGATACTGTGTTTGTACCACCGCCTGCTCTGCCCCAGATGTCGGCGTGCTAGGCTCCCCACCCGCGATACTGTGTTGTACCACCGCCCGCTCTGCCCCAGATGTCGGCGTGCTAGGCTCCCACCGCGATACTGTGTTGTACCACCGCCTGCTCTGCCCCAGATGTCGGCGTGCTAGGCTCCCACCGCGGATACTGTGTTGTTACCACCGCCCCGCTCTGCCCCAGATGTCGGCGTGCTAGGCTCCCACCGCGATACTGTGTTGTACCACCGCCTGCTCTGCCCCAGATGTCGGCGTGCTGGGTTCCCACTGCGATACTGTGTTGTACCACCGCCCGCTCTGCCCCAGATGTCGGCGTGCTGGGTTCCCACTGCGATACTGTGGCCGATTGCAACTGGCAGATCCGGCACGTCACCTGTTACGAGGGCGTCTGTCGCTGCCAAAGCCCCTACAGCAACGAGGTCGGGGACACACTGTGCGCGTGAGTACACTCCGCTGCTGCCCGCCGATAGCTCTGTGCCCCGAGAAGGTGAGCGATGCGTCAGACATGTCGACGCTGCTGCTGACCTTGCAACAGACGGCCCAGGGGACTGTGAACGAATGGGGATCACTTCCCAGAGGTGGCTTAAGATGGCGAGCTGAGGCTGGCTGAACGTCTGCTCATTCGCAGCTTGTGATTGCCTGGGACACCACCCCACCGGCCGTCGAACGTACGCTGGAGGGTGAGACGGAGAGCCTGGAGGGGCGGCGCCAGGGCCCCTTGCACATGCTGCTGGCACGTGGTGCTGGATGGCGCCGGCCAGCCGGACACAAATGGAAACACCTGCGGCGCTGTGCTTCAGGGAGCCTGTCGGGGCGTGGAACACAGCGATAACCGCGTCGGCCATCGTTGTCATTGTTGCTGCGCTGGCCCTGTTGACGGTCTGGATCTTTAAGACGTGCTCTAGGTAAGTAGTCTCTTCTTTGAGTGTTCCGCTTCTGTTTTCTTTTCACTATCGGATGGCCACCAGCCGTTGGTCTGCGTCTGCATGTGGTGACGAGAGATAGCCCCAAAGAAAGACATTCGCAGATTTGGCAGTTCACAGGCAGTCCACCGTGCCTTCCCGGTTTTTTGCTGGTGATCCCCCGTGGCGGGTCCTCTTCCGTCGGCGTTGGCTGACCACGGCAGCTCCGTGTCGACAGGTCGAGGGAGCACAGGGTGAGGAGGGTGTTCGACATCAGCGGAGCAGACCTGCGCGATCAGCTGCCGCCATATGTGGCCGTCGTCAGCAGCAAGACGTCACCACGGAGCAGCGCAGCACCATCGGCGCTGGTGAGCGGCAGTGGAGGGAATTGTGTGGCTCCATCGGCGTTGGTGAGAGGTACTGCAGGGAATTGTGTAGCTCCCCCGGCGCTTGTGAGCGGCGGTGGAGGGAACTGTGTAGCTCCCCCAGCGCTGGTGAGCATCAGCGGAGGGAGCTGCCCAGCTCTCCCGGCGCTGGTGAGCATCACCGGAGGGAGCTGTGCAGCCCCTCGTGCTGGTAAGCAGCAGAGGGAGCAGTGCAGCTCTCTCGGCGCTGGTGAGCAGCAGCGGAGGGAGCTGAGCAGCCCTCTCGGAGGTAACTGAGCAGCCCTCTCGGCGCTGGTGAGCACCAGCGGAGAGGAGCTGAGCAGCCCTCTCGGAGGTAGCTGAGCAGCCCTCTCGGCGCTGGTGAGCAGCAGCGGAGGGAGCTGAGCAGCCCTCTCGGAGGTAGCTGAGCAGCCCTCTCGGCGCTGGTGAGCACCAGCGGAGGGGAGCTGAGCAGCCCTCCCGGAGGGAGCTGAACAGCCTTCTCGGAGGTAGCTGAGCAGCCCTCTCGGCGCTGGTGAGCACCAGCGGAGGGGAGCTGAGCAGCCCTCCCGGAGGGAGCTGAACAGCCTTCTCGGCGCTGATAAGCAGCAGCGGTCTGACTGACGGGCGGTGCGTTGGCGACGACCATCGGCCGATCACTTGACAACGCTTGCACTCCTCTCAGACAACCCTTGCACTCCCAAGCACCGATTTCTTATCCTTTTGAAATATTAAAGCTGCCAAGTGATCTTCATCTGTCTTTGATCTATGCCGGATCGTTAGACTTGTGATCACGATTATGCTTTGCCAGCACAGCTTGCTCGACATACGGCACGCAACGAATGCGACGAATGACACGCGCGGTGGCGTTATTACGCCGCTTGCTCCACGCACAACGCTTTGCGCAGGAAAGCGAAAGATAGAGATGATTACCGGCTTCATGGCTTGATGACACATCCGCCTCGATTTCCCTGCACATCCTCAGAGCTGTGCCGACAACGCCGGTTTCGTGACCTGCGAGCTGAATGCTGTTGCCGTGAAGGGCGGAGCGAAGGCGGGCCCGGCCCCCCGCTCGTCGTGGAGGGCAGGCGGGGCTCGGCACCCGGCCGCGTCCGCCGTCGGTCCAGACCGGCACACCTGACTCCTCTGAACGCCCGGCGACGCGCCAGATCTGCCGCTGGATCTGCCGTCAGGCCTGCGCTGGATCTGCCGTCGGATCTCCCGTCGGACCTGCGTTGGATCTGGCGTCGGATCTGCAGGTCTGTGGCGGATGGTCCCCCGCTCGGTGATGGTCACTGGTGCACCCGCATCCACAGCCCCGACGCTGTTGGTGTGTTTGCGCTAGCGATATTTCATGGGTGCCTGGCAGTTGCGATCTTGCCTGCGTGAGGCGACAAATCCACACCCGTCTCGCCGGTTATTATCAATGTTGGAAGAAAACCGCGTTTAAATGATGACGCGTTTCTCTCGGCTGTGTTTTGTCATACGCATTCAACACTGAGAGTTGAGACGCTCGCCGTCAGCGGTCAAGAGGGTGGTTCAATGCGATGAAATATGTCCCTCGTTCAGCGATGCTTGCCTTTGAGTGTATGATCGGCACGTCATCAACAGCTGGGCTCTGCAAGCCGCGGCAGTGCAGCCGGATTCCGAGTTTAGTCAGCTCGTGTTACCATGTGTTGAAGTATCGTGGCATTCGTGGCTTCCCGACGCTTACCGCTGGTCCCCCCGGCTACCGTGGTGATGATGTCAGAACAGTTGACGACCAATGATAGACGAAGATGCGAAGGATGTGGTGTACGAATTCGTGGAGTCGCTCCGAAGTCAGCGTCTGCATTACCCCATGTTCGGCCATCCTACGTAAATATTGGCAGCCGTTGTCTGGTCACTGAGAAGAAAGAAGGTTTTTGCATTGGCTAAAGCTGTGGATAACAAAACACAGACAAATGAACGTGACACTAGGCCCGGCTGTCCTCTAGCCGGCTAGCCAAAAACCATTCCTATTGATCTGACCAAGAAGCTATCGTTATGTGCTGCGAAGCTAGTGAAAAAATAAACAAACCGTAGGATGCTGGCAACACCGTGAATGCTTCAGGTCGAAAGCAGTAACTTCACAGGGCTTATATCTATAATGACTCAAGTGCCGTGGCATGACCTGAATATTGCAATGTGGGTGGCTGTACCCGAAGCCATCAAAGCCAGTGCAGTTTGAGACCTTTGCTGCTATAGATCAATTACGACGCGATCAGCTGCTGGGGCGATGCGGCGGCGTCTGGTTCTCACTCCGGCTGGAAAAGCGGGCACCGGGGGGATCCGGTGTCATGCATTCCTTGGCAGTGGATTAGGATTTTGACCTCCGAGAAGGTGTTAAAAACCACCCATGTGTCGTTACATCGGTAGGAAAGAGGTATCTTGTCGCACGCTTCCACCGTAATGAGCGAGTATGAAATGTGGCAACATTTGAACAGTGTTAAGGACTTAATGTACCAATACAATGAGTGTCACAAATCAGATAAAGAAGTGAAATGGAGAACGCGACGTCATTGCGCCTTACCACAATCTCGGACACTTGCGTGTGAAATTCATCAGAAAATCTTCGGTTGTTATATGTGTATATTGGGCTGCTGGCACCAAGATGAATTGCTATACCGCAGATCTCGGACCAGTGCAAGGGATTTTTTTTAGTGAGGCCCATGCACAAACAAAATTGCCAGGAGATTCACAGTTGTATTTTGGCGAAGACAGATGTGTATTGCTGCTGTAATGAAATTGCCGAAATCTTTCATGGGCTTCGTTGAGGAACCATTTTTACAAGATGTCCAAAAGTTTGGAGTGATAACATGAGCTGCGAAAGCAGAAGAAAATGGCATTTCGGTTCGCCCATGATGTACTTTATTTCTTTACGTCCTTCTTTCATGGTTATTTGTACTTTAAAATGAGAAATTTATCTGCAGCAATGATACGCTAACAGTCGTGATCAATAAATCCGGGCACGACCATGCTCAATTCGGGCGAGGCCGTGCTCAATCCGTCTACGACCGGATTAATCAGGGCACGACCATGCTTAATCCGGCCACGGCTGGATAAATCCGGGCACGATGATGCTCAATCCGGACACGGCCATGCCCAATCCGGGCACGGCCATGCTCAATCCGGCCACGACCGGATTAATCCGGGCACGGCCACACTCAACCCGGACACGACCACCATGTGCTGGCAATGATGTACAACCATCAACTCTTCACACACGATAACAGGCGAAACACCATGAGTGATAAGTGCCGGCGATCGCAACCATATGAGGGGATTTCAGAATGAACTTGAGGTCGTGTGAATTCTTGGAAAGAGCTCGTACAAAGGCCAATGTGGAGGGTCCGGAGTGATCAAGAGCGCCTGGCCGATTAAAATTTAGTCACCAACGCACGCTCTCCGAGAAAATGGAAAGCCTCGGAGAGACGCGGCCAAAGATTCCCCGGCAGATGCGAATAATGCCAACATATGGGGCCCCGGCAACAGCGCACAGAGCCTCCCGGGTGAATAGTAAGGAGGTAAAGCGCCCTTCAGTCATAGAGGGTGTCCCGGTGGGACCACATAGGATCCGGGACATCAGCGTAGGGTCCCTAGAACAAATGCGAACACCAGGACATGGCGGTGATTAAGAGTGGCCGTCGAGTTAACCTATGGGGCATTCGGCAACAGCGTAGAGCTCAGACAGCGTGATGAACCTTCTTCGTAACAAGCCTTCGTAATGAACTTTCCCAGCCACGAACTTTTCAATCAGCAAAAATCATTTTTGTCCACTAAACTGGCCCTTCATGTTTGCTTTTGGTCTTTCCTGTTCGGACAAGAGCTCAAAGGCGTCGATTACACTCGTGTTAAAAACGTGCGAATTCGGCCAGGAACAGGCCCCTGCGGTGTCCAAGGATTGCCCCGTGCCTTCCTCTGGACCCGCCACTGGCTGTTCGGGTGGAGGGAAATATCTAGTCAATCTTCTCTCAAGGGGAGAGGATTTGGTCGAGTTTAGGCTGTCTCTCCCCAGAAAGCATGTTTAAAAATGCAGCGGGAGGGACGGATAAGGGGCTAAAGTCATTACACGACAAGCTGCCAGATAAGAGGTCTCTGATTATTTAAGAGCTCTCCGTTTGACTTAAGCAAGCTTCGGTGAATCATTGGTGCTAACGCATGTGCAACGATGAAACGAAGTCGAGAAGGCCGGCACACGAAGCCACGGTCATTGACATTAGTCGTCCCTGCCTGCTATCAAGGCCAGCAAGGGTTCGATCCTCACTACAGGCATTGACGCCGCGCTCATACCTGCAGCCGGGTTGGGTGGATACTGCACTGCGCTAACCAATATAAACCAATAGCCTGGCTGACAACCTTGCATCCGCGTCACGCATTTGGGGCGAACATCGCGACTCATCAGTGCAGGTGCAGCTGGTATGGTGACTCGGGTATCCAAGACGCGCATGTGGGGCGCATCACGACCCATCAGTGCAGGTACAGCTGGTATGGTGACTCGGGTGACCAAGACACGCATGTGGGGCGAACATCACGACTCATCAGTGCAGGTGCAGCTGGTATGGTGACTCGGGTAACCAAGACACGCATGTGGGGCGAACATCACGACTCATCAGTGCAGGTACAGCTGGTATGGTGCCTCGGGTAACCAAGTAAACATTTGGTATGTCAGCTAACTGCTCCTTTCTTTCACCTTGGAGATCTGCCCCGTATGTCGCTGTTTATATTGTGCATGCTGTGCCCTCTGTCCTTTTTTTGTTAGACATGTTTTATAGGGAAGTAAGCCATCCACTTCGTGGCACATCGTCGGAGCTCGCAACAGGAGCGAACAGACAAATGGGACGGGGTCGCTCCCAAGCGTCGGGGAGGCCGCTCTGAGCTGGAAAACGCTATGCTGAGATCAGAGCACGGCTGGCCGAATCCACGCATAGGATATCTAGGGCGTAGGATATCCGGGGCCTATGATATCTGGGGCATAGGATATCTAGGGTGTAGGATATCTGGGGCGTAGGATATCTGTGGCATCAATCCACGCGTAGGATATCTAAGGCGTAAGACATCTGTGGTGTCGTTTTAGGACGTCCTGCGATGCGACGTCACAGGCATACGACGTCAACAAGCTCACGTCACCAACATGATTGCGGTAACCCTATTTTGACTACACGGCTGCATTAGTGACCTGCTTCATTATAATCTAAATGCACTATTTTGTCCCACTGCCACCCGCGCTCTACTGTTCCCTGGCCACAGGAATTTCCTCTTCCCCTCCGCTCTTCTCCTCCCATATATATATATATATATATATATATATATATATATATATATATATATATATGTATATACCGTAGAATTTCGTCTTCTTCCTCTGTATTGATAACTTAAACTTACAACTTTTTTGGTGGAGTTTGTTGCATGTTCCTTGAACCTGCCATTTTAGGTAGACCAGCCCAGTTCTTCATGTCATTTTGTCGCCGGACCGCTGCCCGACAGGAGTGCGGAGATTACCACGTCATACATGACACTATGCGACACGGCCGCCCAGGGCCACATGGATTCTCTTTGGTCGATAGCGGGCTGCCATATCCATGTTAGTAGGCCGAAGCAACACGCTCGCGCTGGAACCCATACTCAGTGTTCGTGGGTAACAAATCCAGGATCGTTTCCAAGACCACGTGGACGGCGCTGTCATGTACACCGTGTTGCTAACACTGCACCGCTCCTCCCACTCGCTGGTTACGGTCATAAGCACAGATTAAACATTGCAGTGGTGTAAAACTTTTTTGTAAATAAAAGTGTGGTACTTATGAGCTTAATATGACGTTATCGTCATCAAGGCTGGGTCAACTCGCAGCACCAAAAATTTTCGGCATCTTTCTGCTGACCGACCTGCTGCTGTTTCTGCTCACCGGTTGCCAATCACGCACTCCCCTTGTCCCGCTCCATAGCATGCTGGTAAGAGGTCACAGCAGATTTTAAAAGCTAAACGGTAAATGCTGACCTTTCCTTGCGCAAATGTCAGTTTTGTCGTCTGTTAGGTGTTTGACAAATCTAATACATGTGGTCTTTTGTCATTTAACTTCCATTCTGCCCACAAATTTCTTTCTCTGCAGTTATATAATTTATATAATCTCATCGCCTCTCTGAAAAACATTCTTGACAGCTTTTTGCTCGCTTCTGGGTCCTTCATTCTAATGTCGACCTAATGTCTTATGTCTAATGTCTTACCAGAGCTTTACACCAGACATGGCGGAGTTTGTAATGAGAGCTTAGACGACTACATATCGAGATAACACGCGCTCGGGTGGGGGTCAAATTGACCCTCCCCCCCCGGAAGGTTTTTCCAGAATGGTTTTCGAATGACGCGGCGTAGCGACGCCAAGACTTGCATAACTGTAGGCAACTGAATAGCGGATCGTTTGACATCAAAAATTTAGGTGTACCTTTTAAGATCGCCGACCTATGGCAGGTCAAAGTCAGGTCATGGTTTCAGCGAAGGCAATTTCTAGGGAATCGTCCAATCTGATACAATGACGAAGGGCTTGACGAAGCCATACATCTCTGAGATGCTCTCTTAGGCACCACAAATATTGGAATGAGCAAATTACGTTGACCTAGGTCAGGTATGAAGGTCAGATCAAGGTTAAAACAAACCTGATTTATTGCTCTAGGGCTTGCTGTATGGGATAGTTTGTGGTGCTCATTTTGAATTTATTGACAGCAGGAACTGCATCATATATCTTCCATTGACTTCTTAGAGGTCAGAACAGGTCGTTGACCTAAGATGACCCGGGTTGACATTTTGTTTTAGGAATATACTGCCTAGCGTAATCTTTGTCGCGTATTCAAACACAAAACTCAGAGCAGTCCTGAATCATTTTGGTCACCATGACCTTCAAAAGGTCAAAAAAGGTCACTGATCTCAAATGGGCTTGTGGCCTTTTGCTTACAAACAGTTGCCTAGACTCGGGGGGCACTTTGGAAACCAACCTGGAATTTGATCCTGTTTGACATTTTTAACCTGAATATCATGACTTAGAAAGCTCAAACTTTGACCTAAGTGAGTTAAGGTACAGGTAAAGACACCCTGTAAATTTGGTGTTTCTAGCTATCTTAGCTCCCGAGATCTCAGTCGGGGTTAAATTGACCCCCCACCCGAGCGAAGGGTATCTAGCTGGTCACTCGGGCGCGTGTTAAACAAACTAATGGGCCGTGCAAGTGATGCCATGTGCTGTCATGCCATCTAACAAATATATTCTGTGGAAACTGGTCGGATTCTAAAAAGAGCACAAGATGGTTCCAAAAAAGATAAAGAAAAGAAAGGCGGTTTCATAGCAGGAAGTGACATTTGTCGTAGGATATGACCCACGCCACCGTATGGTAGTACCAGTGACCTACAGTTGACCGCGCCACCGTCCGGCATAACCATACTGTTCGTCATTGAGACGCAAT